TTTCTCTCTTTCATTCTTCTAGCTTGCTTTTTATCTCTTCCTCTCTTCTCGCGACGTACGAACATCTCAATGGCACGATCTCGCCCTTCGTTGGAAACGGCGCATTCGGCGGTGCCATTCGTCGCGCCACTCGATGACGATCGACCTCTGTGTTACTGTGAGTCCACCTTGGCCACCGCCGTCACTCTCTTGGCCAAGGATCAAGTACGATCTACAAACATAACAGAATCGCATGAGTATAGTCTCGATCGTTGTCCAGCCGGCAGCTGTTGCCGGCCACTCTGCAATTTCTAATAGGCAGTTCATGGTCGATGCAATCGTGTCAATCCTTATGTTATCAGATTTGCCCCATTGGAAACTTAAATCATTTGATGACCGTTTGATATTTAAAGACAAATATATCTATGAGATATTTAAGAATGTTTAAAAAAAGACTGAGAGTTTCATGTGTCTTTAATAACGTTCTCTAAATATATGTATTTGGGCAATAATTCAAAAATAATAATAATAATCAAATAGTGATGCGGTTCCCGGGGAGCGAAGCTAAATTAAGAATTTAGAATATTATAAGGATTATTTTATTTTTATTTTTAAGGAAATTTTCTACCTAAGAAAATATTAAAAAAAAAAGATCATTTAAAATTAGTATAGATGACGTATAAACCTGTTTCTTCAGAAAATCTTGAAATATTGAATTTTTATTTATTTGTAAGGATGAAATTTAGATTAAACATTCCTCGATGAAACGATAAAGTACTTACTTATTGGGCTTAATTTTGGGGCATCTGCAGGCCAGATCAGCTGAGTGAACGTAAAGGGATATGTCGCCACGTCGAATCCTCGAATTAGTGTTTTTCTTGTAGATGAAGTCGACGTTTAGAGTGAATCGGATCCAGGATGTGCCTGATACGCTCGTGCCGGCCTGCGAGCCGTCGCTTTTCTTGTGTCTGTCCGTTATTCTGCCCAGAATAGCTGCGGTGAAAAAGAACATATTGAACATTATGTTTCAAGCACACGTGTAATATTATACAAGGTATATTATATAATTGATATAGAATATCTGGAACAGCGATATATAAGCGAAGACCTCATTTTGAGAAGAATATATTTAAAGCTTTTATCATATCTTATAAAATACGGAAGGTAAATTACAATTTCGCGTTTGACAATGATTGGATTTGCAATTGTCTCACGTTCCAAGTATTTTATGAGGACTTTTTTCTATATTTTAGAACAGAGTTTACTTTCGTCGGTGTCAAAAAGCTTTCCTTATCGTGAAACTTTAAACGAATGCTATTATTATAAAAGTGACATTTTATGTTGTAAGCAGATTACGTATCGGATCGGCATCAGTTTTTAACATGGCATCTCATATGTTCCTCTCGTTTCAAAGGAGAGCCCGGATCCTTTCAGTCTATATCGAGACGATAGAATCGAATGGGAGTCTGCGGCCGGGCATGGGCTTTTTTTTTCTTTCTCTCTCTCTCTCTCTCTCTCTCTCTCTCTCTCTCTCTTCGTCTCGTCTACGTACTCTCGTCGTCTC